AGATTTTCCATGAAAAAACGCAGGAAAACCCAAGGAGCACTGTAAAGCAACTAAGGAACACGGAGCCCCTCCCCAACAAAAAGGGTTCCTTCTTCAGGGCCCCGACTGTATGCTCGCAAGTGGCCTGGATCCGCCGCAGGGGGTCTGCGATGCATTGCATCGGAGCAGACATGTGCTGCTCGGCGGTGCATGAACCTCCCTCTAGTAAACCACCCTTTCGTGAAAACGGCCCAGGACCGACACCGACGGAACAGGATCCGCAAAAACAGCGGCGGCGACGCCCTCTCGCGAAGCGAAAATGGCCGATTCAGTAATCGACGTGTCAGGGTAGGAGGTCTATCAGGAGGTCGGGCACGTCCCCCTGACAGGCAATTTTTGGACGAAAAATGAAACCACCAGAACAATTCTCAAACAAAATCTTCCATGGACTATTGTTTGTTTATTTTTGAATATTCCCCCTGTGGACCCTGCAAGACGTATCAAAACATAGATGCGTTTAGATGCGATCGCGCCCTGGCGCAGGCGAGAAGCCCATCGTATTTATTTTCTGCAACGACGGCAATACACACACACACACACATATTTAACATATGTATACACACACTATGTTTCGATGCGCGAAACCAGCCTGCGCGGGAGCGCCGCCGTATCTAAACGGACGTACGTTTCAAGCATATCTAGCAAACTGGGAAGGTATCTATTGTTCTTTAAGAAACAAATCTAGTCATATACATTGTGTTCAAAAAATGGCAGTGCTGCGCCGTATCTATTCGCATCTAATTTTTCTCAATGCGAATGCAGTTGGCTGTGCTCCCAGCACGAACAAATCCATGCTATTGGCCGAAGCAATGGACAGCGGGATGAGGATAGTGGGATACCGTAGCGATGAAGAGTGAGGAGGCGAACGACGACGACAAAAACGACGAGGAGTATGTAGGAACAGGGAACCGTAGGATGTGGAGAGCAAAGAGGAGGAGGAGGAGGAGAAGAAGGAGGAGGAGGAGGAGGAGGAAGAGGAGGAGGAGGAGGAGAAGGAATCGAGGAAGAGGGGGAGGAGGAGGAAAGGTATGGTATAGTAGGCTTGGTTGGTACGGCAAAGTATGGCATGATATGGTAAATGGTTTGGTATTGTAGGTTTGGTATGGTATGGTGGGTATGGTATTGTAGGTATGGTATGGTAGGTCGGCGTGGTAATGATATGGTACGCATTGGTATGGTATTGTAGGGAGGCGGGAGAAGGAGAAGGCGGAAAAGGAACAGGAGAGGGTGCTCTAGGAAAATAAGAAACCCACTCAGGATGCGGGGAACAAGAACCCCATTCAGTATGTGGCGAAAGAAGAGAAGAGAAGATGAGCACCGAAAAGGGCGGATGAGGAGGATCCATGGAGCGAGGAGCGATAATGATCGTTCATGGGCGCGCGCAGGAAACATGGCGCCGTATCTATTCGCATCCAATGTTGGTATACATGTTTTCCAGCGATGGGCGCCATACCGAACCGTATCTAAACATATCTAGACATTTCGACTCGTATCTAAAAATGACCCGTATCTAAATTTTGGAAGAGCACATACCACCCCTTACCTAAAACATAGGAAATCGTATCCAAACGTATCTATTTTGATACATATGTAGTCGTATTCAGTTTTCTTATGAAAACGTTATAAAACACATATGGCTTAGGGAGGAAGTTTAGATACCATGCGGCCCTATGCAGCTGCCGCTGGGGAATTGAGCAACCAACATAATTTGCTGGTGTCTTCAAGGGGAGGAGCAGGCCCGACTTCAGTTTATCAGCCTCCAAGCTTTTTCGGGAGTCTGCGAGTGGGTACCCTGCGAGTCGCGGAGCGCGCTCGGTGCTCTTCAAAAGGCCTCGGGCCCTCAGCAGCAGTCTTCCTGCGTCTTCGGGGAAGGCTTCTGGAACAGAGGAAAAGGAGGGAGGAGCGTTGCCGGCCCAAAAAGGCAGAACAAAACCGCGGCGATCAACTAAGCGCGGGCCAACGTGCCCCGGCCAACGGCCAACGTGGCCAACGGCCAACACCAAGGGCACACGCGCAAAGAGGGGGAATCACGGACGCAAGCTGGGACCTGACCTCCGGCTTCCTTTCCCTGGCTAGCTCCCAATGGCGCCAGAAACGCTGCGTCTTAGAGAAGAAATCAAGAAAAAGAAAGCAAACCGAGGACCGCCCTGCACCCCGCGCCAAAATGGCGCACGGGGCTTCGGGATCGGCGCCCAAGGGAAAATACACGGAGCGTTGCGCAGCGCCCGCACACCAACAAGCACGGAAACAGTATGCCCGCGGCAAAATTGGGCGCCCGAATTATCCGGGGTAGCTCGGGCCCGGGGCAACTCGGGTTCGGATTCCCGAAGAACGAACCCGGGTCAGCCCTGACCCGAGTTACCCCTGATAATTCGGGGCTCTGGGCGCCCGAATTATCCGGGGTAACTCGGGCCAGGGGGAAGTCGGGTTCGGAATCCCGAGAAAAACGAGCCCGAGTTGGCCCTGACCGACTTGC